CTCAGCAACAATCTTCCTCAAGCAAAAAGAGGAAGATTGACAACAGATGTTAGCTCAGGGTCAATCTTCCTCACCAAAAAAAAAAAAAAAAAAAACCCAAAAGTCTAGATATTCAAGACCCTGAGGGAACTGGAGAAAAGACCACATATTTGAAAAAGAGATTAGCAGAAAAAAGGAGTGAAGTTTGAGGACAAAGAAATCCAGTAGGTGCTGGATCCCTGGGAAATGGAGGAAGGAACACGGAGGAAGGGCAGAGCAACTTTTTAACGCCGCCTGGGGGCCTTGGTCAACAAACTGGTTCAGAAAGTAAAGAACAGTGCTTGACAGAATATGAGCAAGAGGCAGACACAAGGAGCCCACCACACCTCTTTTTCTTTACAGGAGTAGCCGCAGAGGTAGAAGCTGGGGTGCTGGCGGTGTTTGCACTCAACAAACCTCCAGGCTGCCTGTTTAATGACAAGAACAGCAAATGATCACATTCCTGAAACTTTTTCATTCTAGCTTACCTTTGAAAGGTCTTATAATCTACTCATATCCCACCTGAACTCTATCTCCACACAGTTTTTCACTTGAAGAACAAAGAACAAAAAGAAAAAGTTCCTCCTTAGTTTACTCATTTTGTAAATTATCAGGCTCTCAGCTAAGTAACTAAAATTGAAGGAATTAATCGAAGAAATCATTCATTATATGATAGTAATTGTGTGTCTGAAATCCAGACCATTCAATTCAGATGTCCTATGGGTTTATATACATGAGTACATAAATACATATATACATATGTATACACTTATATATATGTATATAAATCCTGTAATTATTTTGTGACTAACAGAATTATATTGCATGTTTTTTGCGTTAAAAGCATTAACTTGTTGAAGAAAATGTTTAAAAATCACACCATTTTAAATCGCTAGTATTTATAAATATACACAGACCCTCACAAAAATGGAAGTGATCCAGGCCTGTTTCAACTAGTAAGAGGTGTAGTCCAGTGTGAAAATTATTTTACTTGTAAATACAAATTTAAAAACTAATTAAGTTTTCAAAAACCTACCAAGTTTGGGCTATTAGTAACCTCCAATAGTACATTCCAGGGAAAATATATCTCATCTAAACAGATTGTTAGCAGAGCCTAACCTAATGATTTCACGGCTCAATTGTGTTGTAAATGTGATGGTGTTTTGGGAGCTAAGCGAAATGTAGGGGAAGGAAGAGTTGCCATACGAGTAGGAAAAATTTAAAAAGTTTTGTGGGAAAACAATAAAGAATCTAGATTTTAAAAAAAAGAAATGGAAAGAAGAATGACAAGTTTTGGTGTTTGGTTAGAGCAGACGTCAGCAAACTTTTTCTGTTCAAGTCCAGAGAGTAAATATTTGAAGCTTTGAGGACCATTTCAGTATTTCTACCTCTCAACTCTGCCTAAGCGATAGGTGCTTAGCTATATTACAATGAAACTTTGGCCTGAGGGAGGTATACCCTGGTTTTTCTTAAACACATACGAAGAAATACACTTTATTCTTAAAACTTAACTTCAGTTAGAAAAGTACATACTTCTTTGCTACTTCCGGTGATCTAAATGTGGACCCATTTCTGGTAAGAAAAAAAAAAAGGCAAAAGTTTGAACAGCAACAAAGGATTTATACTTGCATCAATTTACAATTGTCCCTGGATTTAGAGTTATTATAATTAAAAGTTAGACATTATTTGAAAGAATGAAAGCATCCATATTTGAATAAATTTGATAAGATGATTTTATGACCTTTTTATCTCTTATACCAGATTCTAAAGGAAATTTTTTTCCTTTAGAAAATTCAGTATCGTTTAAGTCCAATGTTTTTATCTGTTGGGTTCAGTAATTTTCTTTAGCAACAGAAATGTAAAATTGGCATTTACATGTATTTCATAATCTTGCCCCCAGGATAACTTAAACAGAAACATAAATGTGACAAGAATGATGGCCTGAAGCAATGAGCTCTCTTGATTTTTAAGCCAGGCAACAGGATTTTATTTTTCTCTAATCTTGAGCGGGAGTAAAGGCTTTTTTCCCAGAATTTTCATGTTAAAAAAATAGAAGATAAGAATTTACAGAAAGATATTAAGTAGGACTGAAGAACTGTAAGTAAATAAGTAATGCTTAGAAAAATATTATACTTGAGCCGTTCCCAAAGTCAGTAGATACTGGTACCTATTGGTTAGTCGGTTATCCAAGGTATTGGCCTTATATGTTTTAGTGGCATCATTTCTGTCTGAGATCCTTTATAAAGAAATAAGACAAAAGTCTAAATGAACATTTAGATTATTAAACTCCTTTCAGACCTCTTTCATACTAGAACAACATAATCTCTCTCTAGTAAAGAGAATTTTTCAGGTGTTACATTTTAGAAAATTTTACAATAGAAAAAACTACTTATGACAAAATCTATTTATGAGGTTATTTTGATGCTTTTCTACTTGCCTTTCTGACTCACTGAGCATTTAATTCATTAACTATTTTATAATCATTATTGTTTAATAATATCTAGTCAATGACAGTACTTCTTATGTCAGTAAAAGGCATCAGTGGAAGACTTAAGTATTTCTTTAAATGTTTTGTAGCATAGAAAATGCTATATGTTTGCCAAACTCATTTTATTTTCCTTCTGAGCACACAGGAAGACCACATTTCCCAATCTTCACTGCAATTAAGTTGGGACCATGTGACTGAGTTCTAGATTGAAGAATATAGGCAGAGATATTGTTTGCCACTTCCAGACCCATCATAAAACCTCTTTCGTGATCCTCCATGCTCTTTCTTCCCCTTCTGCTATAGCTTTGCTACTCATGGGTTGAAGATGGAAGCACTCAAACATGGAAAGAATTTAGATCTCTAGTCACTTCATGGAGCACAGATGTCCCCTACTCCTTCAGCCAATCACATTGGACTCTGATGAGAGCAAGCAATAATCTTCTGTTATGCTAAACCACAGAGATTTGGGAACTACAGAGAGAACTTGTTAAAAGAGTTACTCTACCCTGGCAAATTAGTTTACTTTGACTAACATATTTAGTTAATAGGTCCTACTGGCCATCAGAAGTTTTAATTCCTCTAATCTCAGGTCTCCTCAAGGAGGGTAGGTCTGGAAAAGATGTGTTTGTCCATCCCTCGGGTCAGGAAAGAAAATTAGGAATCCTGTAGTCTCCACGCCATTAGCGGAATCTCATGGCTACAGCCCCTGTTCCTTCCTTTTCCTCCCTACACCATATAGGAAGGTTCTCCTGAGATGTGGGGCTGTCTTCTGGAGCATTCTTCAGGCTTGCACAAAACTGGGATGTAGCAAAGTTAGGTTCAGGAAAACAAAAGGTCAGCAAGACTCTTCTGTTGATCCCCCACTATGGATCTACTATCACTTTCTCTAAACTTTCACTTTAACCATCAACTTTAGTACAGGGCTTTATATAAACCATTTCTGGGAAGATGGACACTAACTCTGCCTCACTCTAAAAAAAATTCATGTGGGAAAAGATATGACTTAACTGTCATAAGTTTAAAATAATTTCAATTCCTAGATGTTATTTTGACATGTGTAACTAAAATATTGGGTAAATAACTCTAATAAGTTATTTAGATATAATACTCAAAATTCTATGAGTCAACCCCAAACACAGTTTCTGTTTTTGGTACATACTGCCACAAACTGATAACTCTTGAATGGAAAAAGGAAGGAAGGTTGGAATCCTCAGAGCTCCCCATTCTCAACAGACTGTTCATAATACAGGCACTGACTTGCACAGAATCCTCGAATCCATGTACAAAAAATTCATGTCTAAAGTGATCATCAGGCCAAAGACTGAATATGTCCCCTGCACTAACTGCTACGGAGCCTCTGAAATGTTTGTATTTAAAGGGTTCTGCAGTAAACCAGTGTGGATACCATAAGATATCAGGTAATCCTAAATCTTAAATCTTAAATGTTCCTTGACAACTCTATTCAGATTCCATAGCTGTCTATCAGATCCTCATATAAGATAAACGTAATCTTGGGAAATTGCTACTCTGGTACCCTGAAAACAACAATCTGTCTAAAGCAAGTAGAATCTTAATATCAAACGTTCTCAAGGCGTAAATAAAGGTGAGTTCTGATGGTAAGATTAAATGCAGTTAATCAAAATTCTACAGTGTAAATCTGTATAGGCAATACTGACTGTAGGTAATAATAAAAGGGGCTACCTACTAATCTTTGCCTTTCATTTTATACATTTTCCTCTACTCTTCAGAACACTTCTACAAGGCAGGCATGATTATTTTCATTTTATAGATGAAGAAATGGCATCTCAGAGAAGGTGGATGACTTTCTCTTGGCCACACAACTAGGAAGTAGTCTACATTTCCAAAGTCTTTCCAGTAGGCACCAACGTCATACACCTGATTCTGCAGTGTGATTGTTCCAACTCTCATGTGTTAGGTCAACATGTCTTCCTTCATTATTCTTCCCCTCCACTTTCTCTTCCCTGTCGCTAGGGGTATCAGTCTATGAATAATAACGGAGAAAACTAACCCACCATTCCAATACATATGTCAATTTCTTATTACTTAGTGAGATTAACTTTGTACTTCTCTTGGAAATTAAGTTTTTGCCAACTTGTGATATGAAATAGATTGTTTCAATAGGAGTCAGTCTTGGAGACAGGAAATACCCCAACACTATAATTAGCAATATGATCAAAAGAACCAAAGGAAATGTTGCACTTCCACCTCAGAACACTAGAGGTCTCCCTAGCCTAGATTTTCCACATTAGTCATTAAACCACCCTCAGGATTTGGGCCATATCGCACCGCATGCTGCATACACTACTATTTACTTATGTCCCTTTAAAACATCTCGTATTTTTACCTACATACGTATATTTTTAAAGTGAACTCTTTAAATGTAAACTCAGTACTTTTCTCATTTAAAATAAATGCATTATTATTATTGATATGCACCAGATGTATTTGATCATCTTCCTTCTAAAATTATTTCACACCTCTCATTTGGAGTGACCTGTGTTACGGAAGTCTGACTCCTGCTAACAGGACCTTTCTTCACTGACCCCAGTGTTCTCTCCCTCACATCTATTTCCACACTTAGAGAGATGTAGCTTACTGTTGGGAGATAGCACTCCCTGGGGAATAAGCTGACCAGGATACTTCTTCCAAACATGCCATAAATCTCCATGGAAATAAAACACGTAATCTCTGATCTCATTTTCTAGTGCATAAAATGAAGAGTTTGGGCTAGATTGGTAGCTCTGAATTTTGGCTTCACCTTAGAATCACTTCCTAAGCTTTGAAAATGCCTGAGCCTCTGGGGCCAGCCCCGTGGCAGAGTGGTTCAAGTTCCAAGTGCTACGCTTCAGCTGCTGTTCGGATCCCAGACACAGACCTACTCCAGTCATCAGCCACGCTGTGGAGGCATCCCATACAGAAAATAGAGGAAGACTAGCACAGATGTTAGCTCAGGGCTAATCTTCCTCACCAAAAAAAATATATGTATATATATACCTGAGTCCCACCTCAGACTAATTAAATCAAGATTTGGAGAGGTGAGAAGTGGTGGGATCAAGTTACTAGCAAAGTTTTAAAGTTCACTCCGTGATTCCAATTTGCAGCCAAGGCTGAGAATGACTCAACTAGTTTGTCTGTGAGGTCCAATCTAGTCCACTGCCAATGTTCCAAGGCTCTTTCTTGACTGACTTGGTAGAAACTTTCAGACACTCAGCCCACAAAAGATTAGGTCTCCCACATTCTTAGAGATAGTGTTTCCGTCTTCAGTTAATGGTGCAATAGGACAGCCTGCAAAGCCAGGGTGAATAAACAGAGGTACTCTGACTCCTCTCTCCACACACTGCCGTGGAGATGAGATCTGGCACATATAGTTCTACAAACTCATTTTTCTCAAGGCTTTAATTACAAAAGTGAGGCCAGCTCCTTAGGGATGTCAGTGCTGCTTGTCCTCTGTTAGGTAGACTGACTTGAAAACCTATAAAGTGTGCAGAAGGATACACATTTGCTATATTAATTAACATTGGCACAGTCTGAATACAGACTCTATTAGATTCCATAAGTGTCAGCATAACTGCTTAAAATGCAGCTGGTGGCATGTTTGTCTACACCAGCAGGACATCTTTAGCTACAGGGAGTGACCTCAACTATCAATGGCCTCAGGTGTCCATTGTGTCTAGACTCCAATGAAAAATGTTAACTTTGCTCTTTGCTTAAACTAAGAATCTCTACCAAATATAAAACAAAAATGTGATTTGTGGCATGTACACGTCCACCTGAAGAGACATTGTCACTTTTCTCTATAGAGATGAGCCCTTTCCCTCTGAGTGAGAGGGAACTAACAGCAGGCACAACTTAATGGACTCATTCTTTGAGCCATATGGTGATTCTGTTGCTGAAAGAGCAGTTTCACTTTCTAAGGTAAAGAGCTAATGTCTTTATCCTAGAGGAGATCAAAAGTATTGTATTAAAAATTCCCAGTCTCTCCAGAAAGTAGTTGTACAGAAACTGCTGTTTCTCCACCATCAGGGTGGAAGTACCAAAAGTTAAAACAAGGACCGACTACTTACATTCCCCCAAATAAATATATTCTCCATTTTAAATTGAACAGATTCCATGCAGTGCCCACTCTACCTATACTCAAGCCAATTTCTTCAGAATTTTTTATATCAATCTACTATTAGCAGGATTTTAGAAAAATAGTATATCTGATCAAGATTTTATGAGTTTTGAAGAAGATAATTCAGTCCTTATAGCCCTTCTGTCCCTGGGGATAAAATATTAATGGTTCAAAGCTTACTTTGGTAAACATTTAAATACTTCATGCTCTATAAGAAATGGGATTTAACATATGTCATGAATTCTGCTTACACGGTTCAAAAACACCTTACCTGTCCAAAGTGTCATCAGATCTGTACCGACTAATTGTGGCTTTTGGCACATCTCTCTCATTTGTTTTCCTGTAGTAAATAATAATTACAGAAAGATCAAAAAGATTACAAAAAAATTTTATAATATCTATCATGCATTTGGTAAAACTTTGGCCTATTCAGGTAGGAGATATACATGTTATCAAGAAAAGACAGATTTTAGTACCCAAATATTCCAAAGTTTTGCCTTGGATAGAATAAATTATGGCAAACCCAATTCCCCATGCTAATAAAGGAATTCTTCTCTAGGTCTAATTATTTCTAACTACAATGCAACATATTCAAATTGGGGATAAGGATATGTAAAACAAAGAAACACAACATGTAAAATGGTTAATAACTAATATGTACTCCTGTCAGTGTTGTTGACTTTTACATAATAGGAACTCAATCCTTTGTAATCAGCTATGTCTTGTTTGCAGAGTTTCAGCAGCACCATAAGCTAGCATAACAGGCTAAATACAAAATGCTTTACTTAAAGTTCAGCACCGTGGACAGGGTTGAAAGACCAGAACTTGCTGGCAGAAGAGAGGGAGGAAGAGGGAGGAAAGAAAGGAAAAGAGAAACAAGAAAAGCTGGAAACAATTGAAAAGAAGACAGTAGGAGAAGAGAGAAAGGATAGATGTGGGAAGAAAAAGAGAAGAGAGAGGAGATAGGGAGAAGGAGGGAAAGGAGAGACAGAGGCAGAGAGAGTAGAGGAAAATAGATATGCAGAAAAAAGAGGAGAGGGAAGAAGACATCGAAATAAGGAAAGAGAGGATAGAAGACAATAGCAGGAATCATGATCATCAAAGCGGCGGAAAAATCTTGATCAGACACATATCAGCAAAAACAATCCTGTTTAATGCCTCATATAAGCCCACGATAGAGGGAAAGCAAGCTCTTTGAGGAACTATACCATGATTTACTGTGTTTGCATTTCAAAGCATCCTTTGAAGCTGACAGATCAAATGTATTGAATCAGTAAAAGTACTAAAATAGTATATATAAGATTTAATTTTTCACTTGATGTAGTAAATTTTATTAAGCAAATATTTGGAGGTAAGCAATACATAATGCACTGTGCGATGACTATAAGGAAGTCAAGAATGAAATAACTATGGATGCTACACACACAGAACTAGAGGGACAAGTTAGATACATATACCCAAAGGTAGAAAGTGGCCAGTGTCGTAAAAGAGGTTGAGGTAAAGTGCAAGAAAGTTCTAAGTTGAGAAAGCTTATTTCCAGAGGTAGGAATCAGAGAAGGCTTTATGGATGAAGTGCAGCTTGAGCTGGGCCATGGAGGATAAATAGATGTGAACATTTTCAAACAGAAGTAGAGGGAATAGTGTCAGTGAAGGCAAAAAAAAAAAAGTAATGAAAAATGCTTAACGCAATTATCCAAGTTTTTAAGGAAACTTGGAGTGAAATCATGGTATGGTTCACCACCATGTGTAATGGGTGAATGCAAATAGGTGAGGCCATGTGACCCCCTTCCGTAAAACAGCCTCTTCACATGCACCATCACTTTACTTCTCATTAGTTGGCTTATTCTTCCTAGCACTTATGGCAACATGACATATTATATTGTGTTTATTTATTTTCAGTCCCCCCCCCAACCCCCGCCGCCCCCTTCGACTAGGATGCAAGTTCTATGAAAGCAGGGACTTTGTTTTGTTCCCAGTCCTTAGGCCAGCGTCTGGCTCACAGTAGGCATCTCTGCACATGTTTGTGCTATCAGCCTTATTTGACACATTTCTATGATCTGGCAGAGGAAGTACATAGCAAAATTTCTTAGTTTATGCATAATATGAAGCTGTCATTTAAGGTGATGAGAATATATTATTTATCTTTCTTTTCCTTTTTTTTTAGTCTCTGCTTATGCAGAGCTCTTTGCACATATTGTCACTTCTGCAGGAAATGCTTCTTTCCCTGCTCCATGCCCACCAGCCATGCTTTCTCACTTGAAAACCTTTCTTCTTCATCCTTCAAGCAGTAGCACTAACACCAAAGGCCACTTCCTTGGTGAGGTCTCTGATTTATTCAGGCAGAGTTATTCTCTCTATTTTCAGAGCACTGTCACATACTTCTACAATAGCACTTTCCATGGTAAATGCTAGTGCTTCACTTTATGGACCCATCTCTTTTCATGAATGTGAGAGCTCCTTAAAGTCACGGATTGTGTCTTATGCATCTTTGTATTCCCAGCACCTAGGACAATGTCAGCATATAGCAGGTGTTCCAAAGTGGTGTTGAGTGAACCTCAAAGTGGATACAGCCTCTGCAAAAGGGAAGAAAAGTGCCAAGTGGGCATCCATTTGAGCAAATGCAAGGAGAAAAATAATCCACACCACCCTTTTGGGAAGATGTAGATTGAGTCACTAGTTACAGGTCGAGGTGAAAATGTCTTGGGCTTATAGATTTTCGTTACTGAAGATAAAAGCTCAGTGTGCTGCTTTAGCTAAAATGCTGTCCACCAACAGGAAGGGTTCAGAAAACCAATATAGCTTAAAATACAAAATAAGCACAGAAGGCATTAAGCTTCTGCTATCCTGAAATATACTAAGAATATAAAGCTTAGTTTTCCCAGTCACAGTTCAAAACAAGTATGTTTATTTCGTTAATAGTTCCAGAGAAAGGCAAATAAAATGAAGGAGCAATTTCCACTGGTGGCTGGACTCAAAGATCAGGATCCCTTTGTTGGGTGAGATGAAGGCCAACTGAGAACAAGGCTGTAATCTTCAAAATCTTGAAGACCAAGGAGAGGGCACAGGTGGAGTCGGCCGAATCACAGAACAGTCAATGGGAGGAGCTAAGGTTAAGAACCACAAAACCAATCGGATGCTTTGGGTAGAGGGCTGTAAGCTCAGGACCCTTAGAACAGGTCAAAATTATGAACAGGTTTAAAAGGGTTTCGAGAAATTCACAGATAAAAGTTTCTAAAATAGACATATTCAAGGTGTCTACGTAACTTTTGAAAGTCCACACAAAGAAAGACAACCACACTCCTTTACTAAGTACCTCTTGGTGACACATAGGCTACTAGACCCAATAAAACCTGTATCTGATAAAGAATTAGGTTCTTCTAATGGGTGTGGTTGTTTGTACGTGTGTGGGTGTAAATGTGTTTTAGTAAGAATATTATCTATTTATTTGATCAATCTTAGATTATTTGCATCATTGTGATTACTAGTTTTGTCTGAATTTTCCAATGAAGTTGCATTTGTCAGTCTATTTGCCACTGAGTATCATTTAGTGGTTTTCCACTAGCCCAGGAGTTTCTATAAAGACGTATACTGTCCCATAAAACAAGTGAACTCTGGAGCTGTTATGTCTGTTTTTTAGGGTTCCTTTACCTAAGGTTCAGACATGTTTTATCTGGTCACATTTCTGTGGGAGCCCTTTCCTTTTCCCATCAGGAGGGCCACCTCAGCGGAGCAGGCAGAGGATTGGTTATTCTACGCCTCCAAGCTGTAGTTCCGGGAGCAGGGAACTGGAGAAGCACAGAGTTTGCCCTGTGGAAACCCCTGATGATATCACAGATTCTCCTTCACGAGCCCAGAAAGTCAGGGAAAGCCTGAGGCTAGCCACAAATATTCAGCCTGTCTTGAACAAGTCTTCTCTCAAAAACTACCTTCTTTGTGTTTCTGCTAATGATGTAACTTGTCTGAAACACCCACCTGTCCAAAGCATCATGGGAGTTATGTCGGGTGAGCACCACCCTACCATAATTTTCATCTCTGCAGAGAAAGAACAAAATTAAGTCACGTGAAAAGTTACCAGAGTATTTAGTAAGTACCGAACAAGGAAGACAGGAAAGAGCTCACAATTCTTGGCAAGGTTAATAATTTTACTTCAGGCATGAAAACACAACTACGTATTTATTTTAACCAGTCACCACTTGAAAGATCATGGTGAAAAGAAACAAGTTTGTCAGTACAAATGGTCGTTATTCTAATTTATCCCATGAGATTTCCATGTGATTCAACAATGGAATGAGTGTTCGTTGTTTTGTTTGTTTTTATCAGAATGTGGGAACATGCGGCCATCTACCTTGTATATATTAGAAGAGTCCTTTTCTGCAGAAAAGCAAAAGCTTTCTACAAACATGTTTTAAATTTAATTAAGCCTATCATGTCTGGAAATTTTCATTTGATAGACTCAGTTTTCCTTGACAAAAAGTAGAAAAATAAGTACTGATATTTGTGGTTAAGGAGGTTTAACACACACAGGAGATTTAGCCCATTTTTTAACCATGAGAAGACCTAGTTGCTCTGTTTGGTCTTTAAAATAATCCTATAAATTAGGCAGGGAAGACACTGTTATATCCAATTCACAGATAAGGACATTGATCAGGGATTTTGCAGCTTTCCTAAGGCCAAAAGGTTAGCAAGTGGGTCTAGGACTCAGATATTTTTATTTCAAACCTTTGCTTTTCCTGCTAGTCAACTCTGCAACAGACCTTCATACATACAGGGCCAAAGCTATGTCTTTCTTACTTTGTATAGTGGACCTGAAAGTACAGGCAATTTTAGGAAATGTCAAAGCATGTAGTAGAGCCTTTGGCCTTGAGCCAAGGCAGAGAGTGAGTATCTGAACCTTTTTCATATCAACCCAACCAAACCTGAAATACCACATTTCTCCTGGTTCTGCTCCACTATCATTGCTCAACACTCTGAAACCATTTATAATAAAGCTATAAAAGAACTGTAGTAGACAATAAAACAGAAAGATGAACAGTGAAGCTGAAACAATTCCGGCAAATATATACCCTTAAAGATCCCAAGAGAGCTTTTCCATCTCTCTTGTTATCCCTTCCCTAAGTTTGTGAGAGAGTAGCAAACACCAGACACGTTTTTACCTGAAGAAGAAGCATTAACACATAGCCCAGAATTGGGCCAGTGGGAGTGAGAGAAGCATCTGAGCCAATTTCCCCTTCATTCAGCAGCTGTCATGCCATCCAAACTGGCTTCCCTGGGCCTTTTTAAGGAGGCATGCCTGGCATAAAACCATCATTCCTACCAACTGTAATTTGTCTTAGACATCTCTATCTTCACCCATCTGTGCAAATATTTGCAACCCAAAATTTATGATCTACATTTGACATCACTCTACCACTATGGAAGAATGGAAATGCCATATTAGGCTTCAACAGAAGCAGTAAATGTTGCTTCATAGGAGGAAATGATTGTCGTCCAAGAGTATTAACTGCAAAAGTTAGTATGAGTCTCCAAAACCCCCTATAGTTCCTTAAAATAATAAGATTTAATAACAGAAATTAATAGACATTTTTATTTAACAGTTACAAGTATGCTCCTCAAATAACCATGAATAAGTATTCTCATCAGTAAGTATTCAACCATGAGTAAGTTGAGAAGCAAGGCTTCTCAACTTCAGCACTATTGACATTATGGGTTTGATAATTTTTTGTTGTGAGGAGTGTCCTGTGCATTGTAGGATGTTTAGCAGCATCCCTGGCCTCCACCCACTAATGTCAGGAGTAATCCCCAATTTGACAAGTAAAAATGTCTCCTGACCTTGCCAAATGTCCACTGGGGAAAAAACTGCCCCTCAATGAGAACTACTGGTATAATGGAAAGACAATGGGTCATGTTAAAATCTCAACTCCACCACGTAATAGCTGTGTGCCATTGGACAAGTTACTTAACTTCTCTGAGCCTCAGATTCCTCTTCTGTAAAATGAGGATATAATACCTACCTTGTGTGATTGTTGTGAGATTTAATAATGCTTTATATGTAAAGTACCTAGTATCAAGCCTGACACATAAGAGGAATCAAAAAATGTATGCGTATGCGTATATATATATAATTTATAATAAGTACATTTGGGCTGGACAAATGTCTACTGTAAATCTATGTTGGCAATGAGGCAATCTGCCTATGGTCATATTTTTCAGATCTTTAAACATATAGCTAATAGAAGCAATGCTCAAAGCAGACAACCTTCTTGGTGGTAAATATTGTCACCTACAAATTTGCCACTACCTTTCCAATACCTAGAGGTATATGACCCAGTTAGGATTAATATGAGTTGAGAATTTATTGATTTCACTTGAGCATAATGAAATTTTAGATAAATTATTATTAAATTTGTAATCATGCTATAATGTGTTTGTTTCAACTGACATAATCAACATGCACCAGGAATCTCCCTACCATGGATTAAATATTACCTATTTGGAAACTGGAAAGTCATGTTTTCTTTTCAGGTTATCAAGTAGGCACAAATGTCTATTCTAGTTAGACAATGAAACCCTGCTTTCTCTCACTAATGACTCACATTCTATTAGATATATGAATATTAAAAATGGTAGATTGTCTTGAAAATATGGTATAACCAATTTCTGTTTACTGAATCTTACCAAAAATTAGGCCATGCAACAAAGTGTTTTAGAAGGAAAGTATTCGCTTTTCAGATGGCCATTAGCTTCCCAAGCAGAGAATGGCTCTCTCCGCTCACCCACCTACCCACTTTCCACACCCTCCTACCTTTCTTCTTCAGGACGTTTCTTTATCCAGCTGTTATCCTGTAAGAAAGTCCTCCTTTTGTTCATCTCAAGAAAACCCTGCTGCCTCAGTGTGCTCCCCTGAGTGGTACGCTTCATATCTATCAACAGAAAAATGAAAACTTGGGAGATGTAATTGCCTGAAGTTGAGTGTGGGTTTGTTAACCTGAGAACCTTGAGAGGCACATCTGATTGGCCAGCATCAATCTTCTAGGCTGGCAAGTCCAGTACTGTTTCAAAGTAGGATGCACTAGCAAGAAAGAACAAATCCCATACCCCGTCATCAAAGATAACATATAAAATTGCTCAGGTGCCAACTGAAACCGCCAATGCTGCTCACGAGGCTCCATCTGGCACCTGGAAATGTAGAACCACGGGCCTGGGATAAACCAAGTTGGGGTTTAGTGGGTTGGCCATTTTACTCAAAAAGACATATGCCTTGGAAATACACACAGGACTGCTTTCTAAAGTACCCAGTAAATAACAGTCAATAAGTCCTGGTGCATTAATTCTAAATAACTTAATTCTTTGATCTCATGAGAGCCAGCAGCATAGAAAGTCACACATAAAAAAGGGTATTTTTTAAATATTTAAATTGCAATGACATGAGTAAAGCTGTGGCACTTTTACTTTTTTCTTAAGCCTAACTTTAGCAATGCTAATTAAATTAGACTGTTGCTTCTAAGCATTCAATATCTATATAAAAGAAGTAGGACCTGTGAGTTGGTTCTCCTATATTTTTAAGTTTTCTGAGTAAGAGAAACATCATCCACATTACCATTTCCTGTGGGTGGAGTTTTTCTCAAGTTAAAATTGGACATGATGCCTTCCAGTAAGGATCTAAAAGAAAAATGGGGGTGGGGGAAAACACAACAATGACTCTAAGAATCTACAAATGACTCTTTCATTGCTAACAAGACACATTTTTCAATGACATTGACAGTCACATGATCTAGTATAATGAATACATGACCTAAAGTGCCCACTAAGAATCTGAGAGTTCTTCTATCTCAACGTATTTATTTTACAGATGAAGAAACACCCAGAGCTTTCAGTGTCCCTGCTGTTATATAACAAGCAATTAGCCGAATCAGGCCATCAATTAATTCACTTATTCAATCAATACATAAGCACTGAGTGTCTGGTACTGATCCAGGAGCTGGGGACAAAAAGATGAGTAAGACAAGTGTCTGGTCAGGTGAGTAGGGAGACAGAGACAGGGAACTGATGGCACAGTACACAGAGTGCCCTAGGAAGGCTCTTCAGCCCTTCTCCGGGGGAGCCAGAGCGAGGCCAGGAAACTGATGTGTGATCAGAAGGCAAGCAGCCAGAGGCTGGAAATCACGGATCTGGGGAAACACAGGTGATTTTAGGCAACCACTGCAGGGGAAAGCCCAAAGTTTCTCAGCTATGACCAACCACTACTATTAGACTGTTAGGGGATTGAAGGGACCCACAGCCCCAGTTTGCCCAGGACTAACTGGGTTTCCAGAGCTGCATTATGACTATGAATCCTAGGGATTTTTGCTTTCATGGGCCTCTTCTTTCACACACACACACACACACAATTAAAAATTATATTTTATGACTGTGTTAGTATAAAGATGAATAACAATCCAGTCTGGCTTCATTATTATACATTCAGTATTATTATAATATTCGTTTTTTCTTTTGCTGTCAAAAGGAATTGAAATGTGGGCCCCTAAAGGTATCGTGGGCCCTAGGCACTGCCTTTTCTGCTTAACGAATAAGTTGGCCCTAGAATGTGAGACTTCCAGTTTTAAAACCAGGAAAGTCCTAGGCAAACAGGGTGGCTGGTCACCCCAGGTGAGGTATCATGTTTTTTGCAGAGCCCATCCAATCACACAGTGTATGGAATGTTGGAGGGAAATTAGATCTCAAGTCAGAAGCAAGTTCTAGGCTCAGATTTATCATATCCACGGTCTATAATTGAACCATTCAATCTCCCTTTAAAAATGGGGGTAATGAAACCTGCCGTCTATTTCACAAGGTTGTTGTGATGGTCAAATAAATAATGTATGCAAAAATCACTTTGTTAAACTATTAAAGCTATTTGGATTTACAGCAGTATTATCAGACAGCTGTTTATAGGTATAACTTGGAGGTTCTAAAAGCCCCCATCTCCAGCCCTCTGATGCAAAAGTATCTCCTGCAATAACTTGCCACACGACTTGAAATGGTAAAGATACATTCCTTTGGCAAGGCATTGTTTTCCCTCGGGTCGTCTTTTTTTTTTAAAGGAAGATTGGCCCTGAGCTAACATCTATTGCCAATCTTCATCTTTTCTTTTTGCTTGAGGAAGATTGTCCCTGAGCTAACATCTGTGCCAGTCTTCCTCTATTTTGTACATGGGATGCCTGCCACAGCATGGCTTGATGGGCGGTGCGTACTCCGTGCCCAGGATCTGAACCCGCGAACCCTGGGCCTCCGAAGCAGAGCGCGTGAACTTCCCCACTACTCCACCCTGCCGGCCCTGGGGTCGTCTTTTAGAATGTCAATTCCCCTGGACTCAGTGAGAAGTGGAAGCTATTGGTGCCCAGACTCCTTTACCAGTCTGGTGCTTGGGGGCTATAGGCTCAGGCTGCACCTCCTCTGGGGAACTGCCCTCAGCTGGTAGGGCTGCCTGGTTACACACGCTCCCCACACGGTACAACTGTGACTGACCGACCCAGGATAGGAAGACGAGTCTCTCTCCTCAGGGTAGAGCCAATTCTGCAGGTGATCTGTGCTTCAGAGCTCACCATGGGATCAGGCTGAAGCCAGACCAGCAGACAGCACATCCTGCTCAGCTCCTTCCCCTGCCTCCCCTTCCTGTTTGTTCCCTTTCTCCTTCCTCCCGAGAACATTTCCTCAATAAGTCACAGATTCCCATATTCCTCTCAGACACAGCTTCAAGGGAACCCAACCTAAGACCAACAACCAATGTAGTCAACCACGGCATTACCTTCACAGAGACCAGCGGCTGTTCACTCCACTAATAGCTGAGAGTCTGAAGGGTTAGTGAAGTCAGAAAGCTCTGCATTTAAGGGATGCTATTTACTGACTGTGTCATCTTGAGTGTGTTATAGTTCAGCTCCCTCATCTGTAAAATGAGATGAAATATGGTCGTTTGGGGGATCAAATTAGATGACATATGTAAATTGTCTAGTTACTGCCCAACACACAGTAGGTGCTCAATAATTCTTAACTTCATGCCTTGGAAAGCAGAGAGCAAAGACATTGGGGAGGTGTGGTGGGTGTGGGGAGGGGATGGAACAGCCTTGAATTGGGACCACGGGCATGCAGGGAGTGTAGGGCAGCCCTTGGTTGGCTGTGCTGGGAGATTGCTAAAACTGTGTCTGAAAGGGGAGGAAAAGAGGCCTGTGAAGACAAACTTCAATCGCTACTGCTTGTTCATTTCTTCTGAGTCTGGCCCCACTTCTCTGAGTTCTTGGCTAATCTATTTCCTGTTTCTAAATGGGCTCTGATGAATTCTTTCCCTGAGCTGGTAAAGACCTGGAGAGTTCACAGTTGATTGAACTGGGATTCTGAGGTGATCAAAATGCTGAATGTATATCTGATGATACATTTGCAGAGACTGCAAATTCAGTCATGAGACAGGGGGCAGGGGAAATGGAGAAAAGGCATTTTACAATTATATGCCTATTTGTCTGCCTCTCCCAAAAGGCTGAGAGTGTCCTGTGGGCCAGGCCTGAGTCTTTCCCTTATATATTTTCAGCATCTGGGGCAGAGCAGGTGCTCCCAAGTTGCTTGTAATGGGCTGAATTGTGTTCAGCCAAAATTCATATTTTGAAGCCCTAACCCCCAATTACCTCAGACTATATTTGCAGACAGGGCCTTTAAAGAGGTCAAGTTAAAATAAGGCTGTTAGGGTGGGCCCTAATGCAACCTGACTAGTGACTTTATAAGAAAAATTTGCCCACACAAAGAGACACCAGGGATGTGTGTGCACAGAGAAAAAGCTATGCGAGGACACAGAGAGAAGGCAGCCATCTGCAAGACAAGGAGAAAGGCCTCAGGAGAAACCAAACCTGATGACACCTTGATCTTGGATTCCTCGCTTCCAGAACTGTGAGACAATAAACTTTTATTGTTCAAGTCAACCAGACTGTGGTATTTTATTATGGCAGCCCTAGCAAACTAACAGAGTACTTATGGAAAAAGTGATTCAAACATTCCTAAAATAGCTAAGTCATTCAAAGAGCTTTGAGCCACAACTGTCTCTGACCTCTGCCCTTTATATCTTCAGTTGTCCTACTGCACAGGGCAATTGCCAATAGCATAAACGTCTGTTAGTGGTACACCTATTCTGAAGAGGGTACCTCACAAGCATTGTCTCTCATCCTTGAATAAACTCTACATGGTAGCTATTGTTACCTCCATCTCCCAGATAAGACAACTGCAGCTCAGGGAGAGTATGTAACATGCCCCAAGTGGTAAGAGGCAGAATCTGGCTTCTAAACTGAAGCCAACTCCTTCCTTGGCAACCAGCAATAATGATCATCACGAATCACTGCAAGACTAGACCTGTGCACTGGCATTAGACTGGCGGTGGGGGGAGGGGTAGATAGCAGGGGTCACCTGACTCTTGACATCTCACTCTTTGGAAGTCCCATGAGTTCTGCCCCCAGTGCCTGAGAGCAAGAGAATCAGGGAAGCCTCTCAAAGAATCATCACAGCAGACAAACCCTCCCAGAGCAGACTTCTCTGGGTACTCCTTCATATTCCCTTGGTTATAAACATATGTCCACACCCAAACTTGTCCATGAATGGATATAGCAGCATTATTGTTAATAGCGAAAGAGTGGAAACAACTCAAATGTCCATCAACAAATGGATACACAACATGTGGTATATTCATACAGTGGAAAATTATTCAGCAATAAAAAAGGATGAAATACTGATACGTGCTACAACATGGATGAAGCTTGAAACACGCTAAATGAAAACAGCCGGACATAAAAGACGACATATGTATGATTCCATACGGATGTTGTTTTTTAGATTTTTCCTTGGTATCCTACCCATATCCCACTTCAATTCTCCTCCCAAGCCAGGCTTCTGCTGCCCCTTTAGGTTCTGCTAGGTAAGAAGGAGAGTTCACACAATAATAATACTTCAGATGATTTTATACTAATTTATAATTTATCTCATTTGGTTTCCACAACAACATTTTAAGAGTGGTATAACCCCAACTTTGTAGAGAGAGAAGTAGAGACTTGGCTTGAGTAGCTAGTGAGTGGCAAAGCTGGGACTGAGCCTGAGGCTTTCTAGTTCAAGGCTCATCATTTTCTCCTCTATGTCAGGGATTCCCAGATCATCAGCACTTCCTGTAGAGAGTTGTATGGAGAAAAAAGCAAGTATCTCCTCTTTACCTTATATTTAGGGCTGGCTCTAATCAGACCAACCTCCTGCTAGAGGCTCTGATATTTTCCTGACTTTGGTAGCAAGGCATACTCCAGAAGGTCTAGTTAAATGGAGTCAAATGAGATAAGACATTCAAACAAGCTCATGGCCCTTAACCTCTTTCTCCCTGCCACTGACTAGCCTCAGGTATCCTATAAACACCTCAATGGCTCCACCCCAGAGTCTCTGGGATACTTTCTAGGAATATCTTCCAACGAACCCACTTGCTTTCTCTGGGACACCCCAGTTTCACCTTGTTGCCTCTTTCATGAAAGTCCCTGGGAAGAACTCAGCCTTCCGCTCTTCACCCTTCCCCTTCTCTGAAACCAAGATGCCATGCAGGAGGTAGGAGCAGCCATCTTGAGACCATGGACGAATCTCAAGGACTAAAGTCACACACTGAGAATGGCAGGGCAGGAAGTCAGAAGGAGCCTGGTTCCCGGACAGTATCATAGAGCTGCCACAATAGTCCTGGATTATCTATTTCTGGACTTCTCCTTGCAAGGGAAAAATAAACCTCCTAGTTGGTTCAATTTACTTTTCTATATTTTTGTTTCCCAAGTTTAATGCTCTTCCCACCTGTTACAAGGTCATCAGAGAGAAAATAGAAGGTCTAAAAGCCCTTGGTGGTCTACAAAATATAACATTAGTGTCTCTTCTGTTAATAAAACGTTTCTTATTTCTTTCAATATATCTATGTGTTCAATGTTCCTAGCAAAGAGGGTCATTTGTTGAGTCCCTACTATGTGCCATGTGCTTTATGCACATTATCTTAATCCCTCCAGGTGAGTACTATTATCTCTAATTATAGGAACTCAAAACTCAGAGAGGCTGAATAATCTCCCCAAGGTCACACAATGAGGGCAGAACCAGGAACTGTAAATAGGTCTGTATGACTGCAACACCAGGGATCTCTTCACTACGTGACACTATATGTCGCTTAGAGCACCATGTGATATAGCCAACACCAGACACTCAGGGAAATGCCCTGCAGTTCTGAAAGACAGAAAATATTGGGAGTGTAGCTGGGAGGAGCAGCGGTAATGAATGACTCCTCCAACATCCCTGGACGGCTCAGCCTTGGGCCCCACCGGGGCTGAGGCTGAAGCCATAAGTGGCCTGGCACCATACCTGACCGGACTCCTTCCTTGGATCTATCTCCCTACTAGATAGTTTGATAATGTTTTATACTCTTTCCTAGCCCCATGTGGCCCACCGACACAAAGTAAATGAGAAAGGAATATATAATGTATTCTATTGTCAGGTGATAATTTAGTAAGTACGCAGGAGGTGTTTTTTAATGAAAATGACTAACATTATGGGAAAATAAATTTTTTGTCATCAAATCTACGTGTTTCTCCTACATTTCTCCTACATCTCTCACACAATCTTACTTTTATATCATTCTTTAAAGGAATTACTTATTTCAGGGACGGAGGTTATCCTGAGTTTCAAATCTACTCAACACTCAAATAATGACACCTTAGTAGCCTCAATTTAGCCAAGTGGACTTATTTTCAAGTCCAATTTAGTTTCATTTCAGTTAACTTTTTACTTCTTATAAGAAAGATGAAACTCTAATCTTTCCCCCCTCCAAAATAAAAGCTATTACCTATACATATTGCTAACAATGGCAGACACCAGAACTGTATTTTAAATGTGGAATGTTATGGGAAAAGATGTGTGAAAGTTGTCTGTCTTTGTTATGCTGGGAACTACAAAAACTCTTCCCTTTAAAACATTGAATGCTTAAGTCAAAAACTCTGATGTGGAATCATGACATCAAAGTCAATAAGGACAGAGGAAAAAAAACATGTCAACTTCTGGTCCATCTTTCCTTTCCTCACTGTGGCCAAACACCAGAAAGAGCTAGTTTCTACCCACTAAGTTCAGCCTCTGCCCAAAGACATCTGTCTTTAGGTTTTAGATAAAATTGCTCTTCTTAACTTCTGAATCACAAAACCAATCAACTTTCTTAGATCTCTTTGGATACAGTTGAAACTATCAAGCATCCTCGATTTTTTAAATCTGTCTTTTCGGCTTCTCTTCATCTCTCTATGGTTTTTCTCAATTTCCTTCAGTGTTCTCCATTTTTAATAACAACACTTCCATGGGAGCATTTAGATCCATTAGGATCCACTGCTCCCCTAGCCCAATCCCAGATCCCCTAGCCCAATTCCAGCCCCAGCTCCTCCTGTCCCAACACCAGGAATTCCCTGGGCCAACTCCCAACTAAGCTATAATCTTCTTTTTCATCTTTTGGGTCCTCTTGACAAAAAGACTTTGTAGGTCTCACTCTTCCCTTCCCACCTCAGGATAAAATGTCTCCTTACCTAATAATATCTTTACCATTCCCTGCTAATTTTCTCTTAATATTGTGTGAGCAAAGAAACTGGAACAGGGTGGTTCATAGAGGAAAGAGAATACGAAAAGTAAAACAGAAAAGAAAGAAATGTGAAGCAGAAAATAGATTAACAAAATAGGGGATGAGAGAAGAAAAGAGAAAAAACAAGAAAAAGAATTTAGTTCTGACTGCTGATATTTTGGGTCATGTGATCGTTATAGCTATATTGGGCTTAGATTTTATACGTAGTATCTCATTTAAAACTCACACACTACTTTAAGGTTGACACTATTATTATCCTCATTCTATACCTAAGTGAAACTTGATGGTGAATGACTTCAATGAAGTCAGAGTCTTTTTGCAGGTAGGGCAGGAGTTGGAAATGTGGGCAGTGGGTAAAACTAGTTCTTTCTGGACAGAGGTTTTAGGATGAGTAGTTCACCTGCAGTCACATAGCTAGCACACAGTTAGGATCCCAACCCAAGTTGGTCTCACACCAAAGTTCCTGTCCCAGAAGCCCAGGAAACAAAAAGGGGCCAACAGGTGGAAAGTTACCAGGCTAACAGAAAGGGTGAGAAGAATGACATTCCCTTTGCATAGAGATTCATGATGGACCTCAACCAAAAGTGAGATTTGGAGCAGACTTTCTTTGATCATTTTACCAAAGTATCGTGAGATCAGCATAGAGTGATAATTGGATATTTTAACTGCTCCAAAATCTTCCAATCAATCTATCAAGCTTCTAATATACTTATGTAAATTTATATTTTTATGGAAAAGAAGAAATGTAAGTAGTTGCCTAGGAGAAATCTCTATAGTGATGGAAAGTATAAAATAGCTAATGTAGAGTAAGGAAAGAAACACAGCAAAAATATGTAGAAAATGGCATATGTACACGCACTGGTGGTATTCACCTTTGTGCATGAAAAAGTCCTGAGCATTTCATGGCCCAATAATAGTGCCAGATCCACTAGTACTTGTTACCAGAAATCCCTGGTAACAGGGAAAACCACCTAAGAAATGGAAAAGGACAAATGCTGTCAAATCATTTTCAATAGAAGAATTAAGAGGGGCCCAATAATTACAAACCAATGAACAGAAGCACTATCTCCTGGAAGATAAATAAAACAAACCATCAAACGAGTAATTATCACCTAAGAGACCATGAAATATTATGTAAGGAGAAAACAAACAGGACTTCATGAAGTGTAAATGTTAACAAGTCCATTTAAATTAATGGACTGTGTTTAGCCTGAATGCACAATGCAGAAGGAAATCCAGTAATTATCAAGCTGGTAAAGACTCATTTAGCCTGCCACAATGCTTAGAAATTGGCTAGTTCCTTTGTCTCATGGCCTCAGTCTGCTTAGCATTGGGAAACTTGCTTACTGATGGAGAAAAAAGTTCAGAATGTAGTATAAATGAAATCTTTTACTAGCCAGAGGTCTATATGCTACCAATTTTCTGAGTCTGATAACCACCAAACATAAAAATTTTCTCACTGTTGGTTCTTCTTTTTAATATAAGACCTTCACCCACTCTTATTTCCACCACCTATCTTCTCTGCAGAATGATAACATCAAGTTTTAGCATGAAGAATCCTACTCTCTGGGACAATTATCCATTTCATTTTATAAAAGACAATGGTCTAATGTTCATTAATAAAAATGTTATTTAATAAAAGTGATCTATCACCTGAGCCCCTCGTGGGCTATTTCTAGTTCTAACTGAAAATATTTGTTAAAAGAGTGAAAATCCAAATCTTGACCACAGACTATGAGCCAAAACTCTGTTAGTTACCTTAAATACTTTATCAAATTTCATATTCACAACACTTCTGTCATGTAATCATTCTTGATCCCAATTTTACACAGTATAATCTTTCTCATTGTATTGGTAATACATGCTCATTATAAAAAATGTGGAGAATACAAGAAAGCACACAGAAGAAAAAAATCAGACACCTTTCATCAATCATTGTTATTTTCTCCCAGGGTTCCTCTTTGCCTATTAGATCTTACTGATATACATTTTTCAATGGCATTTAAAAATAATTAAATAATTATTTCTCCTGCGACTACAAAATATATCATCTTATGGGTCTACCTATCGATATAACGTAATTCCTCTGATGTTCTCAACAAACCTATACAAAAATCTTTGACCAAATCTCTGATTATTTTCTTTGGATGGATTCCCTAGAAGTGAAATTACTTGTCAAGGGGTATAACTTCTAAAATGTTATTGATGCCTATTGTCAAATTTATTTCCATAAACCTTATACCAGTTTAAATCTACCAGCAGCATATGAGTGTCTATACATTTGCCAGCACTTCAAATGATCATTTCTTAATCTCTCTAATAATTTAATAGGTAAAAGCAGAATTATTTTGCTTCAACCGCATATTTTCACAATTTTATTGGTTATTTTATTTCTTATTTTGTGACATCCATTGATTATTATTATAGATTTCTTATTGCTTTCTTATTTTCTTTATATACCAGAAAATTTCATCTTTACTTTCCCAGTTTTTCATTTAGCTTCTAATTCTGATTTTTTTTTTAATTGGCAGCTTTTAATTTTGCATTCTCTATCTTTCTCCTTATTCCACTCTTTAGAAATTATTTTCTATTTCTATTTAGAATTTTCTATTTCTATTTCTATTTAGAATTATTCCACTCTTTAGAAATCTCTGTAGGTCATCCATGAAACTTCTTTCTGCCCTCAAAATCCAAGCAATTGCCAAGTCCTACAATTCTGCTCCCACATATCTCTTGATTGCATTTTTTTCTATACTCAAGCTACCAGTTCAAGTTATCATGATCTCCTTACCATTTTAACAGTTTCCTAGCTATATTACCAATCTCTAGATTTGTTCTCTTTTAATCCATTGTCACTGATGCCAAAGTAGTCACCACCTTGCTTAACACTTTTCAATGGTGCTCCATTTCTGTCAGGATAAGATCCAGATTGTTAACAAGGCTTACAAGCCCATACCCTCCAGCCTCATTTCTCCCCACTCCCCATTCCTCGCTCAAACTCTAGCTGCAGTTATAGTTATTGAGTCATTCTAGTTCCTTGAGGGTTCCATCCTTTTTATCATCTTTAGCCTGTTGCTCACTCTATGCCCCGCGCCTAAAACATTCTTCTTTCTGAGCTCTCCTTACCCTTTACTCTCTTTTCAGGAAAGACTTCTATTCGTCCTTCAGGTCACATATCATATATCCTCTCAGAAGCATTCAGTGACACCACCCCAACCTGCTCCCATCCCCACCTCCCAGGCTAAGTTAAGGGCCCTACTGAGTGCTCAAATAGCAAAAAGCATCTCTCCATAGCAACACTTAGCATACAGACTGCCTGTTTGTGTGGCTGAGTATTCTTCCCCTATCCCTAACACAGACACACAGACACACACAGGCACACACACACATTGTAAATCTTGAGGGCTGTAACCAAGACTGTCTTCTCCACAGTTGTATTTCCAAAATGTATTACAGCATCTGGCACATAATGAGCTCTAGAGAAATATTTGTTGAACAAATGAGATTAATTAAATATTTATACTTGTTTCCTTTCCAATTTTTAAAAAATATTTTATTGTTTGGAAACCAAAATATGGAAACTCTAATCCATATGGATTTACTTTGCTAATAGTGGAACGAATCCCTTTCCCATTGATATATGATTCTTCCTTTGTCACATATTAAATTCTTCTATATTCTAGAATGTGCTTCATGGCAGTCTGTTTTATTCCAGAAATCTGTCTTTAGTTTCTTGCCATAGAAACAAACTGTTTTAATTATTGTCTTTTTATAACACATTTTAATATCTAGTGCAAGCACCGCTCATTAATTTCCTTTGTAGAAATTCTACCAGCTATTCTCACATCTTCATTTCTTTTAGATAAACTTCAAAAATTATTTTCTCAGGTTCCAAAATAAATGTTCTATTGGAACTTTTGATTGGAATTACATGAATCCTATAAAAAGGTTTGGGAAGAGTTGACATTTATGATATTCAGTTTGCGCATCCAGGAACAAAACTCAAAGAAGCTTCTACTCAAGAAAGTCTTTATGCCTTACAGTAAGTGAGTGTGATTTTCTTTATCTGGATCTTACATTTTTATTGCAGAGATTTTTTTCCTCGATGTTTTAACTTTCTCTGTGTTATTGTGAAAAAATATAGTCATATAATATACATGTCATATGATATGTATAATATATAATATATAAATATATAGTTAATATATAAATTTAATATTTAATATATTTTAAATTGCATAATTGTTTAAAATTTATAGATATTTAGATAGCTAGAAGTAGAGACCTTGAA